GACAAAAGCGTAATGGCATGTATGTCCCAGTATGCTATCACATAGAATAGTCTTACTGCCCTAAACATCCTCCGTGCTCTATTTACCCCTTCTCCATTAATGCCTGGTAACCAGTGATCTTTTTACTGTATCCATGGTTTTTCCCTTTTCCTGACTGGTTGCCAATATTCTGTTGAAGATTTTTACCTCTCTGTTCATGAGGGATAGTGGTCTGTAGTTTGCTTTTCTTGTAATGTCTTTGCCTAATTTTGGTATTAGGCTCATGCTGCCCTCATAGAATGAATTCGGATATATCCCTCTGCTTCTATCTTCTGAAAAAAAAAAAAAAAAGTTGTAGAGAGTTGGTGAAATTTCTTTCTTAAATGTCCTGTAGAATTCACCAGTTAAGTCATCTGAGCTTTCTATTCTGGAAGGTTATTGATTATTGATTAAATTTATTTATATATAGGCCTGTTTAGATGGTCTATTTCTTGTGTGTGAGTTTTAGAAGACTGGCCTTTCAAGAATTCAGTCCACTTCATTTAGGTTACCAAAGTTGTCAGCATAGGATTAATCATAACATTCCTGTACTATTCTTTGAAACTCTGTGTGCTCTATAGTGACATCTCTTCTTCCATTTCTGACATTAGTAATTCATATCTTGTTATTTTTTTTTTCTTGGTTAGCCTGGTTGGAAGCTTCACAATTTTATTGATCATTTTGAAGAAACTGCTTTTGGGGGTGTCTGGCTGGCTCAGTAGAGCATGCAACTCTTGATCTCAGGGTCATGAGTTTGAGTCCCATGTTGGGCACAAAGCCTATTTAAAATAAAAAAAGTAGGAGCGCCTGGGTGGCGCAGTCGGTTAAGCGTCCGACTTCAGCCAGGTCACGATCTCGCGGTCCGTGAGTTCGAGCCCCGCGTCGGGCTCTGGGCTGACGGCTCAGAGCCTGGAGCCTGTTTCCGATTCTGTGTCTCCCTCTCTCTCTGCCCCTCCCCCGTTCATGCTCTGTCTCTCTCTGTCCCAAAAATAAATAAACATTGAAAAATTAAAAAAAAAATAAATAAAAAATAAAAAAAATAAAAAAAGTAAATTAATTAAAAAAAACTGCTTTTGGTTTTACCCATTTTCACTATTGATTTTCTATTTTCAATTTCATAATTTCTGTTTCTCTATGATTGCTTTTCTTATGCTTACTTTGGATTTAATTTGCTCTTCATTTTCTACTCTCCTAAGGTGGAAGCTGAGATCACGGATTTTAGATCTTCCTTGTTTTCTAATATATGAATCTGATGCTATAAGTTTCCTTTAAAAGACTGTTTTTGCTGCGTCCCATGAATTTTGGTAAATTGTATTTTGTGCAGTTTTAAAAACACACATCGAACATGTATAAAAACTAACAGATACTTGGACAAAAGGGAATACATGAGTTAAATCAAAGACTTGGAATCCTACAACATTTATTTCCCTTCATGGTGTAAAAATGATACAGGTTGATGGTAAAGATATAACTTTAAAGTCCCCATATGTTTCAGAATTAAGAAATACATTTATGAATAGTCTAGATATCAAAATATTATAATGGGAATTAGAAAATAGGTTAAACTGACTTATAACCTCTGTGCTATATATAAAATCTTATGACATGTGGTTAGACCAGCACTTTGCAGGAAATTTGTATCCTTATATTCATTCAAAAAATTAAAAATTAACAAGTCAAGCACCTTTATAAGAAATTAGAAAAATAGCAAAATAAATGCAAAGAAAGTAAAAGGCAACCAATAATAAAAATGACAGCACAAATTAAAGAAATAGAATACAGACGTAGGATGGAAAAGCTCAACAAAGCCAAAAATAGTTCTTTAAAGAGAAAAAATAAATACATTTGATAAATCTCTGAGGAGATTGATCAAGCAAATAGAAGAGAACACACGTGTGTAAACAGCACTGTAATAAGACCATGGTAGGTTACTAGAAGATATAGGAAATAGAAAATTACTAATGACCCGCCAGAAATTTAAAAACTTAAGCAATGGGGCCCCTGGTTGGCTCAGTTGGTTAAACGTCTGACTTCGGCTCAGGTCATGATCTCACGGTTTGTGAGCTCGAACCCGGCGTCAGGCTCTGTGCTGACAGCTCAGAGCATGGAGCCTGCTTCGGATTCTGTGTCTCCCTTCTCTCTGTCCCTTTCCCGCTCTCACCCTGTTTCTCTCTGTCTCAAAAATAAATAAACATGAAAAAAATTAAAAAAAAACATTAGTAAGCAAACTTGTGGCAAAAACTGGAAAATTTAGGTACAATGGAAAAATTTCTGGAAAAATACAGCTTATTGAAGCTTACTCAATAAGCAATAGGAAATCACAATAGTCCTATGATCGGTCATTAAGGTAAGTTATTTGAATCCATCACTGAAAAAATATTCCAGGTCTAATTGACTTCACTAGGCAGTTCTCACATTCACAGAAGAAATAATTACAAAATTATACAAGATCTTCCTAAAAGGGTTTGGTCAAGGTGAGAACGGGGCAGGGAGGGAAGGGCAGCCACGGTACAAAGGAGGGAGGCCCACGGCAGGGTTGAAAAGGAGGCGAACTTGGTCAGATTTGAGGAGGCATGAGGAGGCACGGGAACAGGCTATTGAACTCCTTACCTCACAGGACAGCAAAGCTCGTGTCATTTTTGCAGTGCAGAATGCTGTTTCGAATCCAGGTACCAGCTTTTCAGCCTGGAACAATTCCAGCCCCATCCCTCAATAGCGAGGCCAGCCCTGAAAGGCTCAAAGAACGTGATGCTCTCCTTGGGCAGGAAGGGGAAACAGGTCTTGAAACAGCTGTTACAGGATAGAAGTTATCTCAACAGCTTATGCTGCACAGCCTTACTGAGACGTACGGTCCCATAAGCCTCTTCATTATTCAGTATGCTTGATGACTTTTTCTTCTTTCTGTAGCGTGTTTCAGAATCATTTCCTTGGCTTGAAATCTCCTCTCTGCCTATCTTACTTCCAACCATCATTCATATCACAGCACAAGCCCATCTTTTCCTTTGGTTCCTTCCCAGACCAGACCAACAGACCCTGCTTAGTATCTAGCCGTGGTAGGTTTGGGGAGGTGTGCAGGGTAGGGATGGGGGGCGCCGAGGGAGATAGGGAGGAAGTTGGGGGGAAAAGGATAGACCCCTAAGGCTGCTTTTCGGAACCCCTTCCAACTAGAGGAATTTGAGTTTCTTTGTGGCAGGAATGATATTATTTCTCTTTGTATCTTCTGCAGCACCGTTTTGTATCATTTTCAACCAATTATATTTATGGAGTAGTTACTAATGAAATATATACTATATTGGTCAGAATTTGACAACAACCTGAAAGGTGTTTACTCTGGGAGCTTTCTTTACTTATCTCAAAGGCAGATAAAATAATTTCTTCTCTTATGATATATAAAGAAATGTGATATCATTCTCATTTATTTTGATATGTAAATATGTAAGGTATTTGAGAGAAAAACTCATATGGTAATTATACTGATTTAATATTAACAATATTAAATTATAAATTTAATTTTTATTTTAATATTCAGACTGCTGGATACCGATGTTGTATTCTCTATGTTATGTCATGTTTTGGTGATAGAGCATTTAGTATCTGCTCGCAATATGTGTGACTTTATCCTCCTTGTAATATTCAAGCACTATAAATAAACTATTTTAAAGTGTATTACTAAGATTGACTTATTTTTCAGTGGGGAATACGCCATATGATGCAGGTTTCTTATTTATTTAATAGTTAATATAAATATATTAATATAATTATATGAAAGTAATAGTCATATAACTTAGCGAGAGCAATAAAAACAATATTATCCTACATTTATTGTATTCATTCATTCGATGGATACTTATTATGAGCCAGGCAATGTTAGGTACAGGAACTAGAAGGTGAGGATATATATACATATCTATATGTATATGTATATAAAACCTCCTCTCCTGGGATGGATCCTAGTTGAAGGAGAAAGACATCATATAAGGAATTACATAACTGATTATTAGTTATAGTTGTGGGAAGCATTATCAAGGAGAATTGCTAAGTAGTGGAATCTGAACTTGTCTCCTGTGCAGTTAGGGGTAGCTCCTATCTTTTGTTTTGTTTCTTGGGAGTCAGAAATAAGAGTTTGGCACCCCCTTTGGAGTAAGTAAGCAAAGCTACCATTCACCTGCAAAAGTAGAGTCATGGGAGAAGATACTCTCGCCTTTCAGAATTCAATCATTTAAAAGTTATAGCTGTACCACAGCCTTTGAAAGTTAAATGAACAGTTAAGGGCGTGATTTAGATATTCACCAGTGTGCTTTAACAGTCAACATCAACAACACTCTAAAATTGGTAATTCACGTGTCTCATTGTCAAGGACCAAAAACCAAGGGTGAACACGTGGAAAGATGTTTTTGAAGAAATCACCTTTTCTGACCCATTACTTAAAATCCAATTGAGGCAAATATTGCTATCACATGAAGAAATATTTTCAAGGATTTTAGAATGGCATATACCAAACATGGTTATTACTTCTCCTCTGCCCAATCAGGGGATTAATGATCTCTTCTGGTAAAGTCAAGTCATTTGATGGGATCCTGAAGAGTAATGTGCTGTAAATCTTAAGGCGTAGTGAGAGTATGCATTCAGAAAAAAACTCATTTAGAAACTTCTTAGTTTCCTGTGGCTGTTGTACCACAAACTTAATGTGGTTTCTAGTTCTAGCTAAAACAACACGCATTTATCTTCTTTCGGTTTTGGAGGTCAGATGTCCAAAGTCAGTTTCTCCGGGCTGAACTCATGGTTTGGCAGGGCTTCCACTTTCTTCCAGTTTCTAGAGCTGCATTTCTTGTTTTCCTTTGTCCCTGTCTCCTTCATCCATCTTCAGGGCCAGCAGTGGAGTGTCTCAAAGTTCTCTCTGCTCTGTTTGCATTTCACTGTCTTCTCTCCCCCGTCTGAAATCTTCTGCTTCTCTCTTACGAGCACACGTGACGGCATTTAGGGCCCATCCAGATAACCCAGCACAACTCTCCCATCTCCCAAATCCCTTATTTAATCACATCTGCAAGCACACTTTTGCTGTAACAAGGTAACATTGGAGAGGGGTGGGGTTGGGGGTGGGGTTGGAGGGGGCATTTCTCAGCCTACCTCAACATACCTCTTTCCTCCTCTGCAGGCTTACAGCTCTGTGAGCAGCCCAAACAATTTGGTTTTATTTTGTCATGTCACAATATATTCTGAATTCTTTTTTCAACGTTTTCTCTCACTTAACTCCCTGATGAGAGCGTTCTTCCCTTTGTCTCCACTTGGAGGAGAATTAACAGCCCGTTTGCTTTGCTTTGCCAGCTGCATAACAGTGAAAGTTGTTAATCATGCTGTCATGTAGAACATGAGATGGACAGCTATCATTTTCACAAACTCCTACGACGAAACGTGGCAAGGCCAAGATCTATAGTCCCTCTTCTTCCACGGGAAGATTTGACCCTTTTGTCTGCTCCTGAATTTTGTTTACCCATTTCTTTGAGAGTATTGAAGTAATTGTACCACGAATGGAGAAAAAAAATTGTGAAAATAAATCCATGCCAAACCAACGCTCTACAACTTCCCAGTACTAAAAGTTATATTTATTTTTTTGGAAACAAGGCTGATTCCATTATTCTTTAACTATCTTTAATATTTTTTCATCAAAACTGTGAGCTAGCATGAAATTATTTTCTTGGAACAGGCGATGAATAAGGCAGGTTGCATAGAGCACACAGTGGTTTGGAACTTACCCAAAAAGCAGAAGAAATCTTCAATTTTTTTCCCTCCAAAATGGGCACCAGTTGAGACATATTCAGTTTGAGACACTGAAAATCCAACTCAAATGTACAAAAAGAATAAGGAGCTTTTTTTTTTTTTTTTTTTTTTTTTTTTTTTTTTTTTGGTTGTTTCAACGATTGGATGTAGGTCCAGATAGAAAGCAGGTTCCAGGCTTCATGTAACTTAGTGGCTCAAAGGTATTACCTGGGATCCAGTCTCTTTCTGCAGAGAATCCTTTTATGGCCAAATTCAAGCCACCGTGAGGACACTAACCACAGAGTTGAGAATAGGTGTGTAAACTTTTCCCTCGCAAGTTGGTCTAGCATCATTTCTAGCAAACCGTCTGTTGAATCCAGAGGTAAGAATTCAAACATCTTTGGGTTTATTCATCCTGATGTATGTGGGTCATTAACCATTAAGATATTTTTATCTATGCGTTTATTTTAACTTTAAGGAAGAGTAGAATTTCTGGGGGACTGAGGGACATTTCTTTTTTCTTTCTTTCTTTTTTTTTTTCAAGGAGTGTCAGGATCAGGTTTATTTTTCAACTGCGTTATTGACAGAAAAAATTTACATCAGAGCCCCACTAATATCACTTCAAGGTAGTGGACAGTTGGTCTTAAAATTCACAGTGCATTGCCCAAATACATCTCAGTGTCCAAACAGTGAATTCACACCAAAGTTTTGCAGTCACTTGTTGCTGTTGTCCGTATCCATTTTAGTGCTTTACAACATTTCCGCCGTACCCAGGTGTCTCCATCTTTCCATCTGTTACTTAATTCCACTAATTTTGTTTTACCTCTCGGGAGTATTAGAGAAAATACAGTGTAGAGAAGCTATACTAACGACCTAGTGGTTCAAAAGGTAGTTGCTATGTCCTTTGTAGTATTAAAGGCTAAGCGTTGGTTGTTTATTACTGTGTTCACAGATTGCCCCCAAATTTACAGGATTAAAACAGCACACATTTATTGTCTCAAAGTTTCTGTGAGTCAGGGATCCACTTGTAGCTTAGCCAGGGGCTTCGGACTCCGGATCTCTCATAAAGCTGCAATCCAGATGTCAGGAGGGCCGGGATCTCATCTGCAAAGCTGTACTGTGGAAATAACTACTTCTCAGCTCACATGGTTACTGGCAGCACTCCGTTTCTGACAGAATGTTGGACTGGGAGCCTCAGTTCCTTCATAGTTATTGGTTCCTTGCTACGGGGGCCTCTCCAATATGACTTCTGGCTTCATCGAAGCCAAAAAGGGAGAGAATCTTCAGGCAAGATAGCAGTCACTATCTTAGGTTAGGTAATCATGGAAGTGACATCCCATCATCTTCTCTGTATCCTGTTGGTTAAGAGCAAGGCACTTGGCCGGCCCACAGGCAAGGGGAGGGGATCATACAAATGATGATGTGTTTCCATTCTTATTAATCAACCTGTTTATTGCATTCAGAGAGTGCAAAGAAGTTCATAAAGCATGCCAAATAACTGTAAGAACGAGAGAGGCTGATACTAGGTTTTAGAATAGACTTCCCATTAAACCCAAAAACTAGGACAAAGTCTGTTGAATCACAGAATTTTATATTTTATTACTTTCCCTGCAAAAGCATTTTTTAATCCTTAATGGAAGAAAAAAAAGTAGGAGAGGCAATGGTGAAAGTTTTACTGCAACTATGCCCAGGAGAGCTTGGTCATCGGTTTCCCTGGTCACCCTGGCAGCTGAGGCACAAATGGAAATCTAAAGCATGTGTGACAAGCCTTTCTGAAGCCTGCCTATTGCACACAAGCATTCTCAACCTCCCTCTCTGTCTATCTCTCTCACAGTTGGATGAGGAAGGCAGGTTTTATACTCATTGGCATAACTTCTGGAATTATCCAAAACCAAGACATTGGAAACGTATCCTGGTCTTGGAGCCTATGCTTCTTGGCACCAGTCGATTTGTCCTAAAGAATTCTTGAAGAAAAGTGAAGCCTGGCAGTGTTAATGCTTTCTCAAATATCTTTAAAGTATGTTCAGAAACTATCACGGAGAAACAAACAAGCAGAAGCTTGTAATGGCGCCATCAACCATTTTGTGAGGGAGATAACTTTGATTTTATTTCTTATGTATGATTTACAGGCGCTGGAAGGAGAACTGAGAAGGAGTTGAGACTGTCGAATTCAATCAAGGACAAAGAGGCCTCGCAGTGTCCAAGGTCTTCACATGCCCCACGACTCTACCCCCGCGACGCTAGCTCTGTTAGCTCCCAAGTGTGACCTTGAGAAAGTGATGTCATCTCTCTCAACTCCGAGCACCCCCACCCCATCCACAAAATGAAAATGCAAACTTTCCGCATGGCTGTGATTGTGCGGACTTAAAGGATTTTAAATCCCTGAGAGCACATAATAAAGTGGTTTATCTGTAAATTCTTTTTCTCATCCCTACAGGATATGTTGAAATCCATGGAGGTAGACACTCTTTATGGAATTCTTTAATACCCAGCTGTTACATAAACTTTGTATCTCTATTCACTTCATTCTCCTTGGGGAACAGTCACGATAAACACAAAGCACTCACAGTAGATAAAGAGGTAACCAAGGACCACGGAAACATCTAGCATCACCCACTCGTTGGCTAAATGGGAAAGACTTGAATCAGCAAAGCAGTCAACAAAATATGCATATTGTGGATAGGAAAGACTTTAGAGGAAAAAAAATAGTTTACTCTGGACTTGGAAGGAGGAGAGAGAGACATAAAAACTCTCCTCCATGGTCTCCCTTCCTCCATGGAAATAACATAAGCCTAGGGGGGACTCATAGGTCAAAAGACTGAAAGAGTTTAGGGGCATCTGGGTGGCTCAGTCCATTAAGTGTCCGACCTCGACTCAGGTCATCATCTCACGGTTCATGGGTTTGAGCTGTCAGCACAGAGCCTGGAGCCTGCTTCAGATTCTGTGTCTCCCTCTCTGCCCGTCCCGCACGGACACTCTGTCTCTTTCTCTCTCAAAAATAAATGATAATTTAAAAGAAAGTTAAAAAACATTTTTAAAAAACATTGTAAGAGTTTGACCACTGTGATGTGCGTGTCATGGGGAGGGAGGTTGATATTTTGCACTTTTACTATTTTTTTTTTAATGTTTATTTTTGAGAGAGAGAGAGTGTGTGTGTGCACGTGAGTGGAGGTGGTGTAGAGAGAGGGGAGACACAGGATCCAAAGCAGGCTCATGACGACAGGCAAAAGCCCAATGCGGGGCTTGAACTCATGAACTCATGAGCTAAAGTAAGACAGTCCACCAACTGAGCCACCCAGGCACCCCTACATTGTACACTTTAAGATTGGAGATGGCCTGGGGACTTTTGGAGCTTTTGAACTGTTGGCACCTTTGAGCGCTTTGATTTCCACATTTGTACTTCTTCATTTTGCAAGATGGAAGGTAGATGTTGCCTGGATGACAAGAGTGCCTCCAGAAAGCTATGCTACAGGGCGAGGGTCCTAGGAAGACACCAGGAGCTGGGCATTTGGGGCTAGTTCTAGGCTCAGCTAACAGAGCCCCATGGTAATCCCTCCCTTGCCGCCTTTGGTGTTGCTCACCTAGCTCTGCAGGCTTTTGGGGGACTGCTTGGTACAGAAAAAAATGAGCACCTGTCTGACTGGAGCTTCCCTGAAGGAATATTGGGATCCCAATGGCAATTTTTTTAAATGACATTACAAGTAAGCATTTTAAAATTCATTTACTAAGCTTTGTTTCTCCTTTTTCCATTCATTAGAGAGCCAATTGGTTTATTGGCTTCCTGAGTATAGCATGAAGTCTTAGAAGCAGAGAACAAGACAAAAGGCAGTTCTGAAAGGAAAGAGAAGCCTGTTGAGATTTTCAAGTTAAAGTAAATAAGGCTGCCTAATTTGTAGGATGATTGGGCTTCCCTGATGGAGGTCTCGAGTGCCATATTTCTATACATTATATAAGGTGAAATGCGACTCTGAGAATTACTAAGGAAGAGATTGCTTTGAAAACTTAGAACTCATCCTAATGAGTGATTTGTAGTTCCGTTCTCTATTGGCTTCCAAGCTTTGTTAAAACCTTCAAAATCTGAAATTCTATCAGCAAAACCGAGTGATCATTTTGTCTCACTCAAGTCAGATAAGAGTGCTTCCCCATCAGACTGAAAGGCAGGGCACACTGGATTAGGAGGCAGGGTTTCCTTGGGGCTCTGGACAAGTGTTCCTGTCCATAGAGTAAGGTTAGATCAGCTCTCTCCAAATCAGATGGTTCTGGGGCAGAAACGAAAGGCAAAGCCGTGACGTGGGGCTTCATGGAAACTGTGCAATGGGTGACTGAAGACCTCTTTGGGGGCCGATCAGGTTGCTGGCTTGCATTATTTAACCTTGCCCCTGCTCCTGTCCATGCCCCGATTTTGAAGTCTTCCCCATTAAAGGGGCAGTCTGCATTTCCCCTCTCCTTGACTTTAGTTCAGACGGTGGCTTGCTTCGCCCACTTGAGGGACAGATGTGAAGCCTTGCTAGTTAAGACTCTGGACACTAAAAGGGTTTGTGTGATCCCCTTGCCCTTTTCCATCGCTGTCATCTTCCTGAAAAGAAGCTGCCCAGCTTCTCCGCCGGTGGCAGAAGGGCACGAGTGACATCTGGAGCAGAGCCAAACCACCCCTGCTGAACCCAGCCTAGATTCCTTGCACCCAGCTGATCCCCAGATACGTGAGCAAAACAAATGCTTATTGTTGTATGCTGCTGAGCTTTTGGGTTGTTTACTATGCAGCATTATGAGGGCCATAGAACTAATTTGCTCTGTTTACCCTGGATAAACTTCCTCTTCTGCAACACGAGGGTGTTAGGAGAGGGCTGGTGTTCCAAATTCCGATCGCCATCAGGGCAGCAAGGAAAAGCAAACGAGGGAAGGGGGATGGTGTTTTGATGCCATATCCCATACCCCTTCTAGAGAAGGTAACCGTCCCTCAGCTCCAGCAGGAAGTGATCGTGCACGAATGGAGGCATTGTATTGTCGGATTCAGCTATTTTTCATGCGAAGTTGGAAATCTGGATTTCTTTCATGTGGAATCTCCAAAACTTAAGTTTCAGAACTGTTTAAGCATTTGTAGAACCCTGTATTGGTGGCATGTATCTATCCCAAAATAACCCTGGTAATCTCTGGATTGGTCTGTAGGTCCCTATCAGCTCTAATCCCCAGTAATCATTGTACTCGATGCATTGCCAGTCTGCAGTGTGCTCCAGCTCATCCAAGGTCGTGTTTCCTTTATAAGAAACTTGGCAAATTTTGCCTTAAAAATGTCACAAAACATGCTTCTTTTATCCCTGATGGAATATCTTACAAACATGGTCACAGAATACAAGCTAAAAGCAACAAACAGAAACCCAGACAAGACCAAAAATCCCCAGCTACCTAAAATCTTCATGAAGCTACTTCCGAAGCTTAAAAAATAACAAATAAATCACTTAAATATAAACAATAGAAACAGACTTTATCTTAGTAAAGGGATTTTTTTTTTTTTTGCAACTTTAAAATCTAGGCTTGTTTTTCAGGATGCAGATTTAAAAATAATCTATTGTTCTTATAAGAAGCAATCTAAGGTCTACTTTTGAAATGTAATATGTGTCTATCACAGGAAGATAGGAATTGTTAAGTCTTTTAAATGATTTTTCTTAGTAAATTAGCCATCAACTGGAAAAATGGTCTGCCATCTCTATTAAAGGAAAAGAAATCAGGAAGCCTTCGTTTAAATCTTCATTATCTACTGATTAGGCCAACAAGAGAGCTTCAATCTCCGGATTTCCTCGACCATGGATTATAAACCCAGGATAATTAAATGGAAGGAATATAACCTCCTCACAAGGTTCTTGATTGGATTAATGATTATACATGACTCGCAAAATAGAGAATGTGCATGTGAGGGTGTCAATTTAATTTAAATAAAATGTACTTAGTCCCATCCAACTGCATATTGGAAACAGGGCCAGGCACCGCACAGAACACAGAGGAGACAATTCTTGCTCTGAAATGCATATAATTGCAGGAAGGACCAAATGGAGGAAGCAGCACCTGGGGAGATGTTGTTTTATATGCAGAATGGAAGGTTAAGGTACATTAGTCATTATTGCTTTATACCCCATTATACTTGGAGAAACTTCTCTCTAGGTTATGTTCTCTATATTCCTTTTCATGGACAGTTTTTAGGTTTTCTTAACCAAAAGAAAAGAGGGTAGGTTGTTTAATACTTGTTGAGCTCCAGTAATGTGCTAGGTTAACTTCTTCAATCCACATAACAGGCCTGGGCAATAAAGCTTGTCTTCCCGTTTTACAGAATGAGAAAAATGAGGGCCAGGAGATCCAGAAAGCCAGCTGAAACATCACTTCTTCCCAGAAGCCTTCCTTGATCTCCACAACCCAGTGAACCGCTCTGTGAGCCCCCTAAGTCCACTGCATGCTTTCATTCCTGCCCCTACAACATTTTATAGTGATCCTTGCTACTTCCTGTCTCCCACTGGACCATGAACCCTCGGAGGCTGGTGTTCGGCATGAAAGTCGTACAACAGCGATCGAGGTTTTCCTACATATAAATCCCTTGCACTTTCTACTGCACGTCCACTTCAGAAGTTGAAGACTTGGGAAGCCTTTTTTAAAATTCCTCTTCGATAGGCAAATGGGATTGCGTTGAACTAAAAAGCTTCTGCAGAGCTAAGGAGACACTCAACAGAGTGATGAGACAACCTACAGAAAAAGAATTTGCAAACCATACATCTGATAAGGGGTTAATAGTCAAAATATATAAGAGACCGAAACAACTGGATAGCAAGAACACGAATAACCAGATTTAAAAATAAGCATAGGACCTGTATAGATATTTCTCAAAATAATGCACACGCATAGCCAAAAGATATGTGAAAAATACTCAACATGACTTATCATCAAGGAAATGAAAATCGAAACCACAATGAGATATACCTCACCCCCGCAAGAATGGCTGTTATCAAAAGTCAAAAGATAAAAATTGATGGATGTAGAGAAAAGAGAACCTTTGTATGCTGTTGGAGGGAATGTGCATAGTAAGGCTACAATGGAAAACAGTATAGAGATTCCTGAAAAAATTAAAAATAGAACTATCATCTGATCCAGGAATCCCACCTCTGGGTATATACACAAAGGAAATGCCATCAGTCTCTTTTTTTTTTTAAATTTTTTTTTTCAACGTTTATTTATTTTTGGGACAGAGAGAGACAGAGCATGAACGGGGGAGGGGCAGAGAGAGAGGGAGACACAGAATTGGAAACAGGCTCCAGGCTCTGAGCCATCAGCCCAGGGCCTGACGCGGGGCTCGAACCCACGGACCACAAGATCGTGACCTGGCTGAAGTCGGACACTTAACCGACTGCGCCACCCAGGCGCCCCACCATCAGT